TTTTTTTTTGGCAATTTTTTCCCTAAAAAGCAGATTTTCTTCCCTAAAATGTTTTTCAAAATAGATTTAAGGGGTCAATGAGATAGTTCAGCAGACTAAGTACCTGCTTTGGTAAGCGCAAGGACCAAGGTTTGATCCCAGGTCCTGCATGCCACACTGACCCTGTCAGTGGGCATGCTGAGCAGGCAACAGAGTTGGGGAGTGGTGGCACATACCTGTAATCCCAGTGCTGGGGAGGCTGAAAACAGGAGAATCACTATGAGTCTGAGCTGCATAGTAGACCCTGTACCAAATACATAAAATGAAAACAAAACAAAACAAAAAACAAAAATAGATTTAAGTTTGAAACACTTATGGAGAGGTCAAGTCTCAATCATTCTTGATCTATCAGTGGCATTTGACATAGTTGATCTGTCTCTGTCTCTTGTCTCCGTCTCGGTCTTGGTCTCCCTCTCTCCCTCCCTCTCTCCTTCCTTCTCTCTCTCTCTCCCTCTCTCCATCCCTCTCCCTCTCCCTCTGGGTCTCTCTGTCTCCCTCTGTCTCAATCTCCCCATCTCCCATCTCCTGTCTCCCTCTCCCTCTCTGTCTCCTTCTCCCTTCCCTCTCCTCCCCAGCATTTGCTCTATCACTAAGCTTCTCTAATGCCTTTCTTTTTTCTCCTGTCATCTCACTGGTCATATTTATTGGGTTCCTTTATTGATTGCTTCTCATAATACCAAAACACCCTTCTTTCATCCCTAAGTAATTATCTAGGTGATCTTTATGTCTTAGGGTTTTCAGTATGACCTATATGCCTGGGATTCCTGTATTCAATATCTCAGACTTACAGGTATAACTGTTTCTCCTATATGTCCTCATGAGTACTTATTAACAGCAAATAGCTGATCTTAAGTTTATTCTCTTTTATTTCTAAAGTTATATTTTATTTTAAAACTTGAAATTAGATTTATTCTAATTGATAGGATAAAAACAAAATTATTATGGTACCATGTGATGTTTTAGTACATTGATATCTACATTGTATAATGTTCTATTATTTAAGCCTGTGTCCTCATACATTTATCACTGTTCTACGCAGAACTCTCAAAATTCTTTCTTCCTCCTTTTAGAAATGTACATTATTATTATCTATTGTCATCCTCCCTTCAGTAGCAGCTAGACCGTCTTTCTGCTGTCTGTCTATAATTTAGTGTCCATTCATCCATCTTTGTCCGTTCCCTTCTGCCTTACTCTTTACCTCCACCTCTGTATGGTCAACATGCTCCTCATCTACATATGAGTGAGATCACATGATAATGATCTTTTTGTGCTTGGCTTGTTTCAGTTGCTGATCTTTGGTTCCATCCTTGTTGTCAGAAGTGATGATTTCCTTCTTTTTATGGCTGAATAGTGCTCTATCACATAGCTGTGCCACATTTTCTTTACGTATTTGCCTGCCGATGGACCTTTAGCTTCTGTTTCTTGGCGGTTGTGAATGGTGCTGCAATGTCTGTAGGAGACAAAAATGTCTCTTCCACGTTCTAATTTCATTTCCTTTGCATGTAGAGCCAGGGGTGGGTTGCCAGGTAGTGTAATGGTTCTATTTTTAATCTTTTGGAGGAACCTCTGTAGTTCTCCCTTATGGTTATACTGCTTGCTCTCCCATCACCGGTGTGGGAATGTTTCTTTTTCTCTGCATCTTGATTCTCTTTCCATAAACTTGCTCCTCCAAGAATCTCTATCAAAGTCAACTAATAGCACTTACCTTCTACTTGTTCAAGTTAAAAAGAGCATATTCAAAAGCTCTGACTCTACTGCTTTCTGCTTGCTAGCACTCAACATCAGCAAATTCTGTCAGCTGTACTGTCTGAGTATGTACAGAACAGAAATACTTTACCTACATCTAGCACAACCACCCTGTTTCAGCACTATCAGTTCTATAGATTATCACAGTCACTCCAAAGTGACTTCTCTGATCAGTTCC